TGAGAGCTGCTGGCAACCCCCAACTGTAATTTAAGGTGACTGTACCCAAGGAGATCTTGAATCAAATGGTCGGATAGTACGGCGCCACTCAGACCACATACGCTCAGGTTTTGTTGGGACAACAGCAGATGAAAGTTTGGATGAATCAACATCCGTTCAGTCGGAAACGTAAGCAAACCCCCAGCATTCTGTACAATCGTCAGATGCAACAACGGTCCGTAGATCTCAGCATACGCATAAACCCGTTGACCGATTCGTGCCAGGAGTATAAACATTTCAAGAGATGTGGGGATGTCACGTACGCGAATGACTTCGATCCGTTTAATTCAGCCGTGCGCGGATTGGTTACCACTCACACCAGCTGGCCAATTATCCGACACACACACCCCGGTCTCGCTGCGCGTTTCCGTGAATCTTGTATATTCCCAGTTGATTGATAAACCTCCTGCTGTTCAGACGTCTTCTGCTTGCTGGTATTACGTGTCTCGGAAGCTTGCGTTACATGCTTAGTGGTACTACGTTTTAGCGTCCATCGCCACCAGGGTTAAATCACGTATCGTTCATGGCAGCCAATGGGATGAAAACACTAACGTCATTGCGCGTGCACAGCTCACCTGGCGTGGACGACATCAAACTGAAGGCCTTGGAGACAGCCGCCAAGAACCTTGGCGAACCATTAGCTCGGTTCTTCCAAGGTTGTCTCGACGAAATGCAAGTTCCGACAATGTTACATGTGTGTCTTCTGCTAAACCGATGAGCGACACACAGACACATACAGATCGATTGACCGATAGCTGATTCGTCCACTCTTTTTCCTTGTGCTGATTGCTTCCATTTCGACTTATTCATCTGGTATAACCTACAAGCTACCATTAGAGTTTTTGGCAAGTCCCGTCCGGTGTGTGTTCTTATTCACTTCTTGCGCGGACTAAGGGTCCAGGTGCAAACCAGCAATACTCGAGTAATACGTATCAGAATGGCGACGGTTGCTACGAGCCCTCTTGCGGGACTGTCATGTCTGTGGCCTGATGGTGCAGAAAAACCCTCTCTACAGTCGTGGATACAGTGGAAAACATCTTTCCAACATCAAATGACTCTCTTTCTTGTGTTAAACCCCTCTATCGTGTTATCCGATACCCATTGGATTATGTTATTCCGCCAAGCCCTTGGATCAGAAGGACAACGTCATTTTGACGCTATGAACTTGATGGCTAAGACCAGTATTGTGCACGTGATCCAGTTGTTTGAGGAATTGTGGGGAATCCAACAAAGTGTGTTTTCCGCTCGTTATCAGTTTTTCAAGCTACAGCAACGATGCGGAGAAAGTGTAAATGATTTCATTGCCCGCATTCATCAAGCTACACCGGAATGCCGGTACAATACCATTCCCTCAAGTCGGTTTGAAGAAGTCATGAAAATCCAGTGCCTAATTGGTGGAGTTACAGATGATGGTGCGAGGGAAAAATTATTGTCACAGGAGGAAGAAACCCTTTCCTGGGAAATGGCGTGTAACCTTGTACGTCAAAGGGAAAACCTAAAATCCCAACTATCCACCTTCAACCCTCCTCAGCCTGTGGAATGTGTAAACAAACTGTCACCACGGTTATCCTCTGAAAACAGGGTACGGAAGTTCGTCTGCTACCGATGCGGGGATCAGCACACTTCTCCCACCCAGTGTCCTCATACTCGCACAAAGTGCAGAAATTGCGGAAAACTTGGCCACCTGGCACGTGTTTGCCGTTCCCCACGGTCACAAGTCTCGATCAAATCATTGAACTCCGACGACGGTGAGTGCCCAGATTCCCAGCTAAATTTTATGAACCATATAATTTCAAACTGCTCAGTTATGACGAAAGTGTCTCCATATAGGATCACGCTTCATGTTAATAACGAACCTGTTTTATTTGAATTGGATACTGGTTTCGCGGTGACATTGATTAGTAAAAACGCGCTCTCATCGTTACCCGACCTGGAACCGACTGATACCGTTTTTAGAACCTATACAGGAGAAGTGATTGATTTACTTGGGAAGTGTCAGGTACGAGTGCAGCATCAGGGTAGATCACACAGTCTGGTACTTCATGTCGTGCCTCAGGCTCCAGTCAGTTTGCTTGGTCGCGATTGGATGAAAATGTTACCACAAGTATTAAATACTATCCACTCCGTGGGGGAGGATATCTTTGAATCGGTCCTTAATCGATATCCAGAAGTGTTTGACGAGCAGCAATTGGGCAGACTCAATAATTTTAAAGCAAAAATCCATATGTCAGACTCAAGTACACCAAAGTTCTTTAAGGCCAGAACACTGCCCTATTCCTTACGACCTAGAGTGGAAGACGAGCTGAAAAGGCTTCAAAGAGAAGGTATAATTGTACCAGTCCAACAAGCTGAATGGGCGGCCCCGATAGTGCCTGTACTTAAGCCCGACGGTAACGTACGAATCTGTGGTGATTATAAGCTTACAGTAAATCGAGGTGCCATCATAGACCGTTATCCATTACCGAAAATTGAGGATTTGTATGCCAACTTGTCTGGAGGAGTCAAGTTCACTAAATTGGATTTGAGTCACGCCTATTCGCAGGTAGAGTTGGATGAGACCTCCCGACGTCTTACGACGATCAGTACACATTTGGGGCTATTCGAATACACTAGACTGCCTTTCGGGATTAACTCAGCGCCGGCGATCTTCCAAAGGATAATTGACAATATCGTGCGTGACATACCGAACACTTGCGCATATCTCGATGATATCCTTATCACGGGTCGCACAGAAAAGGAGCACTTGTACACGTTGGACCGGGTGTTGCATAAACTCTCTGAACACGGTTTGCGTTTGAAACGCTCCAAATGTGCTTTCCTAGTTGATTCAGTTGACTACCTCGGTTATAGACTGGACAAGCATGGTTTACACGCGCGGAAAGATAAATTACAACCCATTATTTCTGCACCCTCACCTCGTAACGGAGCCCAGTTACGCTCGTTCGTTGGAATGCTTTCACATTATCGTCGGTTCCTACCTAATCTTGCTTCTGTTCTAGCACCACTTCACAACTTGCTGAAAAAAGATTCTAAGTGGGCATGGGGCGAGGAAGAGCAACAAGCATTTGACAGGGCAAAAGGTCTCCTTGCTTCTTCACCAGTCTTTGTACATTACGACCCCAACAAACCCCTCATCCTACAGTGTGATGCTTCACCTTTTGGAGTCGGGGCAGTGCTGGGACATAAAGTCCACGACGGAACAGTTCGCCCTATTGCTTTCGCGTCCCGCACATTACAACCTGCTGAGAAAAATTACGCACAATTAGACAAGGAAGCACTGGCCGTAGTATTCGGAGTAAAGCGGTTCCATCAGTACTTGTGGGGCAACCAGTTTGAGATACAGACTGACCATAAACCACTGTTATCACTTCTCGGTAAGGAACGAGGCATAGAACAACTTAACGCACCCCGAATGGTACGCTGGGCCCTCCTACTTTCTGCTTACAATTATCAAATCCGATACATTGCCGGTCCTCACAATAATGTCGCTGATGCGCTCAGTAGATTGCCACAGATTGACCAACAGGAGGAAAGAAGTGACGCGCCCTACGAGTTTGTTCAACTTTTGCAACACCTGAATACTACACCCATATCTGGCGACATGGTTAGGAAAGCTACAGACAGAGATCCCGTTCTGTCGACTGTGAAACGTATGCTGCTGCGTGGCTGGGGTTCGCGAGCCCCTGGTGATCTGCGTCCGTTTTTCAATTGTAGATTTGAGCTGAGTCTGCATGAAGGATGTATCCTACGTGGATCTAGCATCGTTATTCCATTGACTCTCAGGTCAGCTGTACTGAAAGAATTACATGATGCACATCCAGGTATTGTCCGCATGAAAGCCCTCGCCAGATCCTACTGCTGGTGGCCAGCGATTGACCGAGACATCGAAGCACTTTTGAGTACTTGTAACACATGCCAAAAATATCAAAGAGATAATCCAACAGGCCCAATTCACCCTTGGCAGTTGCCCGACAGCCCATGGGAACGTGTCCACGCCGATTACTTTGGCCCGATCGAAGGAAAAATGTTGCTACTTTTAGTAGATGCGTACTCCAAATGGATTGATGTGCATGTTGTTGCAAACGCTACTGCAGAAGCTACAATCAATGGCGTACGCTCTAGTCTATCTACACATGGCATACCGAAAACATTAGTCACTGACAACGGTCCGCAATTTACGAGTGCAGCGTTCAAAGAATACCTGCAGAGCAACGGCGTTCATCACATGACTTCCGCACCGTACCATCCAGCGTCAAACGGTTTAGCTGAAAGAGCGGTCCAAACCGTGAAAGCTGGTCTTCTAAAGCAGCGTAATGGCTCGTTACGAACCAAACTTGACCGATTCTTGTTCGCATATCGGATCACACCGCTAGAGTCTATCGGAAAGAGCCCTGGGGAGGCAATGTTTGGGCGTCGACTACGTACGAGGCTAGACCTACTTTTTCCAGACCCTCGTCAGACCAGGCGTTACCAGCAACAACGTATGCATGAAAGTGGACGCGCACCAGTTAAGCCCCAGAAGTCGATAGTAGAACGTGATGTTTACACGAAACTACCACATGAGCAGTTATGGCAGCCTGGCACCGTGCTTACGAGCTCAGAAACGGAGGCCGAAATACAACTAGAGAGTGGAGAGACAGTACGCAGGCACAATGATTTCATCCGGCCCCGCATCCTAGTCACACCGTACCCTGGGGAAGAGAAAGTGGTTCCAGAAGATCTGGAGGAGACAAACAAAAACCAAACGGAAGAAATCGATCAGCCGATTGCTATTCGGAAACCGCACCGCTCACCTAAGCCGATAGAACGTTACATTTCACAACTGTGATTCCATCTGTCACGTGAGGGGATGTTACATGTGTGTCTTCTGCTAAACCGATGAGCAAAACACAGACACATACAGATCGATTGACCGATAGCTGATTCGTCCACTCTTTTTCCTTGTGCTGATTGCTTCCATTTCGACATATTCATCTGGTGTAACCTACAAGCTAACTATTACAGTTTTTGACACGTCCCATCCGGTGTGTACTTACTCACTTCTTGCGCGGACTAAGGGGCCAGGTGCAAACCAGCAATATTCGAGTAATACGTATCAGACAATGTGGAAACATGGACTAGTCACTGCTATTTACAATGGTGGTACTCGTTCGGATCCCTCGAACTACCGTCCAATCACTCTCCTCCCAGTTTTATCCAAACTAACGGAACGTATAATTTCGGAGGCGCTCTTGGGATATCTGGAGAACAACAACATCCTAGTGTCACAGCAACACGGATTCCGCCGAAATCGATCCCGTACTACAAACTTGCTGCGAGCCTGTGCAAGCTGGACAAAGTCATCCAATGTCAGTAGGAGTCCACGGTGTCTACCTGGACTACTCGAAAGCGTTCAGTCGTTGCGACCACCGCATTCTCCTTCACAAGCTTCGAAGCTATGGAATCGGTGACCTTATACTCGGTTGGATCGGCAACTTCCTCGCTCAACGTCAGCTGAAGGCGAGAGCCTACGGCTCGATTTCCTACCCAATTGAGGTCCAGTGTGGCGTGCCTCAAGGCTTGGTACTGGGCCCAATTTTATTCCTCACATTCATTAGCGATCTTTTCAGTATACTGCAGTCGAATTTCTTACTATTTGTATATGAGCTCACAATTTGGCCTGATATCTAGACATCGTATGATCACATGGCATTGCAGAGCGATCTCGACAGGGCATACGAGTGGGCATCCGACAACCGGCTCCAGTTCAACGTGACCAAGTGCAAAGTCGTAATCATACACCATCAGCTTAGCTACAAACATCGACTTGAGGACCAGCAGTTGCAAGGTGCTTCCCCAGAAAATGACCTTGGGGTGATCGTGCAGAATGACCTTGGTTGCTCGAGCCAGGCTGAAAAGGCATCAAAAGAGCCAATCAACATCTTGGACCCTTGAGCAGGGCTTTCGGCAATTTTGAGCCATCGAGCTTTCCGCAAATGCTGAGCACCTACGTGAGGCCTCACGTGGAACATGCGATGCAGGCCTGGCGTCCCTGGCGCAAGCGCGACGTCGATGCACTTGAAAGTCCACAACGTAGAGCGACCAGAGTCATTAGAGGATTGTTTCATCTCTCCTACCAACGCAGACTGCAGTCCCTGAGATTTTACAGTGGTGAATATCAACGTCAGCGAGGAGACCTTAACATAGTTTACTTACTACTGACGAACCCAACTCACCCATGTCGTAGTCTGTTGCAGCTGAGCCAAAATACCAACGTGAGAGGCCATCAACTCAAACTGACGACACACCCCAGTCGGCTTGATTGTCAAAGCAACCTTTTCTACCTACGCATGTCCCGTGCCTGGAATGCCCTTCCGACTCACCTTATCCTGGCTCCTATATTAACGCTTTTCAAAAAATATGTATATTCAACACTATACCAATTACAATATAATTGGCTGCGTGCCACAACACATAAGAAGAAAAAGATAGCGTGAAAGGGAAAACAACTGTTAGAGTAGAAGAGTCTCACAGCAAGTGCGCCATTGCGTACTGTCCTTGGCCATATCCTCCAGCGTTTGCAACCAGATGTGCTCGTGGTCCTTTGGTCCCCAACCCAGCAGTCTGGAACGCCCGACAACAGCCAGCTTCAACGTTTGCGCCTTAACACATTGGATCCAAGTTTTACATTGCCCTCCTTTTCGGCGCTTCCAAGCCACGCCTGTGCTCGCAAATAGGGCTCGTCGTGGTAGCCGCTGGGTAGGCATGCGAAGCACATGGCCAAGCCAGCGA